GATATAAAATTCTTGGTTCACACTTCTCTCTTTTTGGTCATGAGTTGTTACAGAATGCTGTTTCATTCTTGCCATGATTTGTATGTTGCTTTTGCAAAGTATGATACCTATCTATTTCTCTTGTCCTAGTAAATTATTTTACCTTTTTGCCTGGAAGTGCTTAGAATTTTTACTTTAGTCTTAAAACGTAACAGTTTTACTAGGGTATGTCTCAGAGTTGATTATTTCAGATCAATTTTCCCAGGTGCCTGCTAGACCCCTTCAGATATACGTATACTCAGGTCTTTTTTGTTTTGTTTTGTTTTGGGGAAGTTTTCTTAGATTATACTTGTAAATATTATTTCTGTTTCTTTGTTTTGTTGTTAGTCTTTAAGGAATTCAGTTATAAGTATGTTGCTTCCTTTTTGTCTGGCTTCAATTTCAACCACTTTCTGACCATTTTTTACTGTTTTGGTTTTTTTTTTTGCTTTTTCCATTTTTATTCACTTGTGTTTTATTTTTTTGTCATTCATGTCCCTTATTAAATTTTTGTTCAAATATGTTATCCCTTGTATACCTTGTAATTTAGACTGCATGTCCCAGATGATTCTGCCTTTTGCTTTTATTTTTCTTACTTTAATAAAGTCTTGTTTTATTCTTTTCTTCACGTATTAAAAGATCCATTTATATTCTTGGTTTTTGAGTTTCTTATTTAAGGTGTTCTCCCCCCATGCCCCCAAATGCTTGTTTGTAGATATGTAATTCAGTTTGGAGAGCTATGTTATAGGGTATTTTTCTGCTTAATGACTAGATTTTTGGAGGAATTTTTATTATCTAAAATGTTTTTATAAAATGGACTTTATTTTATTAGAGCAGTTTTAAGTTCATAGCAAAATTGAGTAGAAAATTCAGAAATTTTCTATCTACTCCCTGCTCCCCTTCCAAGGCACAACCTCCCACCCCAGAGTGGTACAACTGATGAACCTACATTGACACCCCATTGTCCCCCAAGGTCCATACTTTATATTAAGGTTCACTCTTGGTGTTGGTCATACTATGGGTTTGTCAAATGTTTAATGACATGTATCCACCATTATAGTAGCATACAGGATTGTTTCACTGCCCTAAACACCCCCTGTGCTCTGCCTCTTCATCCCTCCCATGCTCCCAACCCCCAACCCTTGGCAACCACCTGTCTTTTTACTGCCTCCATAGTTTTGCTATTTCCAGAATGTTATATGGTTGAAATCATACAATATATAGCCTTTTCAGATTGGCTTCTTATTTGTACACACAGACCCAGGGAAAAGACCCAAGACTGAAAATCCACTCCATATGTGGAGGATAGGGAAAGACTGAAGAAAGAGGCAGGCCATTCCAGCCTGGCAATTAACAGAGTTTATTAAGGGAAACTTACATATAAGGTGTACCTTGGGCATCGGCAATACAAAGTGGATCTCCTCCATACAGCTTGTCAGGCACTAAAGAATTATAAAACAGGGCAAGATGGATGGGGCACTGGTGTGTGACCTATCCCAGATAAGGGAAAATGCCTTGCATGCTTGCCCTGGGGCAAGGCAACAGCCTGTTCTAGAAACCAGCATGCCTGGGGCGTAGGGGAGAGGTCAACCAGATAGTCTCTGAGGGGATTTACAGGATGCAATCTCTGTTCTGGCCCAGCTCTAGCTCCTGGGCCCGGCAGTGATCACGTCATGGAACAGTCTCTCTTCCACATGTTTTCACCTAGTAATATGCATTTAAGTTTGCGCCATGTCTTTTCATGGCTTGATAGCTCATTTCTTTCTAGTACTGAATAATATTTTATTGTCTGGATATACCACAGTTTATTCATTAACCTACCAAAGGACATCTTGGTTACTTCTAAGTTTTGGCAATTATGAATAAAGTTGCTTTAAACAGCTTATGTGTGAGTTTTTTTGTGTGTGTGGACACCAATTTTCAGTTCATTTCGGTATATACCAAGGAGCATACTTGCTGGATCATATGGTACAAATATGTTTAGTTTTGTAAGAAACTGCTAAATGTTCTTCCAAAGTGACTGTACCATTTTGAATTCCTACCATCAATGAATGATAGTTCCTATTCCTCCACATCCCTGTTAGTATTTGGTGTTGTCAGTGTTTTGAATTTTGGCCATTTTTATAGGTGTGTAGTGGTATCTCATTGTTGTTTTAATTTGCAATTCCTTAGTGACATGTGTTGCCAAACATCTTTAATATGCTTATTTGTCCTCTGTATACCATCTTTGGTGAGGTGTTTGTTTTGATTTTCTGCCCATTTTTAAATTAGGTTGTTTGTTATTTAATGTTGAGTTTTAAAAGTTCTCTGTATACTTTGGTTAAGAGTTGTTGTTTTTTTTTAATCAGATATGTCTTTTTCAAATATTTTGTCCAATTCGTGGCTTGTGATCTTATTCTCTTAAGCTAAAAAGTTTTGATTCTTATTTTTTTACCCTCTTTATAGTAAGTTTGTATACACGAATACTGCTTGCATCTCTGCATTTAGTGGACAGGATTGGTGGTTTGGAGTGGTTTGCAAGATTTCTAGTTCAAGAATACCATCTTTTGTTAGTATATCTAAACAATTTCTTTTATCAATGACCTTGGAAATTTTGGGGGAGAAGTTAAGGGAAGGGGATTGTATTCTTTTTTTTTAAATTGTTTTTTATTATGAAATACACATTTTTTAGAATTAGTTTCAGCTGTACAACACAGTGCAATAGTTATACTTTTTACGGGGTTTGTATTCTTGATTTTTTTTTGTCTTGTAGGATGCTAAAATTTACCTCTTGCATCCTTTTGCCTTTATCGCAGTCACTACTTCTCTTTTCATTTCCTAGACGCTTTACCTTTCCACAACTGCCTCTTTGAATCCTTCTCTAGTTTGTACCCTAATCTACCAGGACTCTTTTCAGTATCTTTACACTTAGGGTGGACTTCTCCATCCCCCCCCCCTTCTCTTGACATTATCTCTATATTAGTCAGGATTCTTCAGAGAAACAGAACCAGTGGGAGATATGTGATAATTTTATGATCAACTTGACTTGACTGGCCTAAGGGATACCCAGATAGTTGGTAAAATGTTATTTCTGGGTGTGCCTATGAGGGTATTTCTGGAAGAGATTAACATTTGAATAGATGAACTGAGAAAAGCAGATTACCCTCCTCCAGGTGGATGGGTATCATCCAATCTCTTGAGTGCCTGCAATAAAACAAAAAGGTGTAAGAAGGGTGAATTCTTTCTCTGCTTGAGCTATCTCTTGTCTTATATTTACTATACTTAACTTTTTATCGTTATTTTAGAGTGTACTCTTCCTACTTAAAAAAAGTTTGCTGTAAAACAGTATGCCGTGTTTTGTCAGCAGTAGCCTCACACATTTCATATTTACCTTGTCTGTTGATTATATCATTTTCTCATGTGCTTGATTTAATCTCATGTTGTTTTGATCATCATGGCCCCTAAATGTACAAAATCCACTGCCAATGTTGCTAGTAAGAGACCACATTGAGTGATAAACCTAGAAGCAAAATTAAGAGTGGTTAAAGACTACAAAGGTGGAAAATCAGTGATGGTTTTTGCTTGCTAGTCAGGCATTTCCTCATTCCATGATAACTATGATCTTGAAGAACAAGAACAAAGTGACAAAAGCTGTTAAAGGATCTGCTTCATTGAAGGCAATGAGACTAACAAAAATGCGAGACGGGCCTATATCAGACATGGGGAAACTTCTAATGACCTGGATTGAAGACCAGACACAGAAACATGTCCCTCTTAGCACCATGATGATCACGGCCAAAGCTAAAAGTGTGTTTGTAATGTTGAAAGAAAAGGCTGTATCTGACTACAATCTTGAATTTACTGCTAACTCTGGGTGGTTTAAACGAGTCAAGAATTTTTATTCATTACATAATGTGGAAGTGAGTGGTGAGTCTGCAAGTACTGATGTGAAGGCAGCTGAAGAATTTTGGAAGCTGTAGATAAGCTAATTGTGGAGGAAAATTACTTGCCAGAGCAAATATTCAATATGGATGAAATTTCCCTGTTCTGAAAACGTATGCCTGAAAGAACTTTCCTCTATAAGGAGGCCAAGTCAATACCAGATTTCAAGGACAGGATAACAGTCTTGTTTGGAGGCAGTGTTGTAAGCTACACATTGAAACCCTTTGTGTCTGGCACAGTGAAGACTCCAGGACCTTCAAACATAACAATAAGCACACACTGCCAGTGTACTACCAGAGCAATAAGAAGTCATGGATAACACCGCATTGATATCAGTGGATCATCAAGACAGAAAATGAATTAGGAAATAGTGGTCTTAAACGACATACTAGACCACATGGATTTCACTGATATTTTTAGGGCAAATCACCCAAAGTAGCAGAATATACATTTTTCTTAAGTATACATGGAACATTTTCCAGGATAGATCACATGTTAGGCCCCAATGTTTTAAATTTTAAAAGATTGAAATCATATCAGTCATTTTCTCCAATAACAATGGTATGAAACTAGAAAACAATTCTAAGAAGAAAACTGAAAAACATACAGACACATGGAGGCTACATAGCCTACTGCTAAAAAATGAGTGGGTTAACAATGATTAAGGAAGAAATCAAAAGATACCTTGAGACAGATGAAAATGAAAACACTGTGACCCAAATCTATGGGACACAGCCAAAGCAGATCTAAAAGGGAAATTTATAGCAATACAGACCTACCTCAAGAAACAAGAAAAACCTCAAGTAAACAATCTAACTATATACCTAAAGGAACTAGAAAAAGAAGAAAAAACAAAGCCCAAAGTGAGTAGAAGGAAGGAAATAATAAAGATCAGAGTGGAAATAAATGAAACAGTCTAAAAAACAATAGAAAAGATCAATGAAACTAAGAACTGGCACTTTTAAAAGACAAACACAATTGATAAACCTTTAGCCAGACTCATCAAGAAAAAAAGAGAACAAAAGTCAGACAGAGAAAGACAAAAACCATGTGATTTCACTTATATGTGGAATCTACAAAACAAAATAATCAAAACAGAAACAAACTCATAGATACAGAGAACAAATTGATGGTTGCAAAATGGGAGAGGGTTGCAGGGGAAGGGTGAAAAAGAAGAAGTGATTAGGATGTGCAAATTCCTAGGTATAAAAAACAGTCATGGGGATGTACAGTACAGCATAGGGAATAAAATCAATACTATTGTAATAACTATGTATGGTGTCAGATGAGTACTAGATTTATCATGGTAATCACTTCTTTAGGCATATAAATGTCTAATCACTATGTTGTACACCTGAAACTAATATAATATTGTATGTCAACTGTAATTGAAAAAAAAAGAAAAAAGAGCAGTCATAGATGACCCAGCTCCTCTTCCGAGATGCCCTTCTGAATTGTTATGTAAGCAAAATGGAAAAGTACTGTTTGGAGAATAACATATCTTTCAAGATTTTACTTATTGTTAATAATGCTCCCAAATATCCTGCCTTTAGTGGTGATTTTTATCCCAATATCAAAGTGGTGTTTCTCCCTCCAAACACCAACTCTTTCATCCAATCAATAGATCCAGGAGTTATAGCAGCTTTTAAGGCCTCCTACCTGAGGAGGACCTTTGCAGGGCTATTGCTACAACTGAAGAAGATACTGACAAGACACTGAGGCAATTCTGGAAGGATTATGGCATTTGTGACTACATCAAGAACTTTGCTTGGACTTGGGGTCATGTCACCAAGGACTGTATGGGTAGCATCTAAAGAAGACACTCAAGAGGTTTGTTCATGACTTCAGAGGATTTGCCAAGAATGAGAAGGTTGCAAAAATCAACAGGACTGTGGCTGAGATGACAAATAACCACTTTAATGTGGGTGGGTGTGAGGATGACGGTGAGGAGCTCCTGGAGGTGTTTCCTGAGGAACTGACTCATGAGGACTTGTTGTAACTGGAACAGGAACACGTAGATGAAGAGGCAAGAGAAAAGGAAACTGCAGGAGAAAAAAAGAAGCCCTAGAAAACTCACAATGAATGGGGTTAACAGAAGCTTTTGCACACTCCAACAAGCTCCTTAAAAAGTTTGACAACATGGACCCCAATACTAAAAGGTTTTCATTAATAGAGAGGAATGTTTATGGTGCACTATCTACTTACAGACAGATCTATGCTGATAAAGAGAAACAAACCAAACAGAGCACAGAGAACATATTTCTGAAAAGAGTGACACCTCAAGAAGAGCCTCAGGCAGGCCCTGCGGGAGGTATTTTAGAAGAAGGCAGTGTTTTCATAGGACATGACAGCTGTGTGTGTGTCATTGTCCCTGAAGACCTTCCAGTGGGACAAGATGAGGAGATGGAGACAGTGATATTGATGGTACTGACTCTGTGTAGGCCTAGGCTAAGGTGTGTGTGTCTTAGATTGTTTTTCTAAGTTTAAAAGTGAAAAGAAATAAATAAATAAATCGAAAAAGTTTTGTAGAATAAGGAGATAAAGAAAGAAAATATTTTTGTACAGCTGTACAATGTGGCTGTGTTTCAAGCTGTTATGTCTTCTTGATAAACTGACCCTTTTATTTTTATGAATCATTTATTTCTGCCAATACTCCTTGTCTTGAACACTGCTGTTTCTATTATTAATAAAGCCACACTGGCTTTCTTCTGATTAATCTTTGCATGATGTAATATATCTTTTACCATCCTTTTTCTTTCAATCTTTCTATAAGTTTAAAGTATATCTCTTGTAATCAGTATTTTCACTCTAACACTATTTACCTTTTAAATGGAGTAGTATAGACAATTTCTACTCAACGTGATTATTGAGATTGGTTGGTTTAAATTTACCATCTTGCTATTTGTACCATTTGTGACTTGTTTCTTTATTTCTCCTTTCCTGCTATATTAGTCTGCTTGGGCTGCCGTAACAAAATACCATAGACTTGGTGGCTTCAACAACAGAAATTTATTTCTTTACAGTTCTGGAGGCTGGAAGCCCAAGATCAAGATTCTGGCCAATTCTTTTTCTGGTGAAGGCTCTCTTTTTGGCTGTAGATGCCTGCCTCCTTGCTGCGTTCTGACATGGCAGAGAGAGTGCTCTGGTGTTTCGTCCTTTTTTTATAAGAGCACTGGTCCTTTGGAAGTAGGGCCCCACTCTTAATGACCCTATTTAAACCTTGTCACCACCTCCCCACGTGCCCTATCTCTAATTACGGTCACATTGGGAGTTAGAGCTTCATCATATGAATTTGGGGGGATACAATATAGTTGATAACACTTGCTCTCTTTTGAATTATTCAAATATTTTCAGTATTTCTATCTTCTCTATTTGATATTTAGCAATCATTTCTCTAGTGTTACAGTATGTATTCTAAAGGTAGCACTGTCTCTCTTGAATTAATTTATACCACTTTATATACAATATAAATAGTGTAATTTCATTTCATCCAATACTAGTTTCAGTAGTATAATTCCATTTACTGTATACCATTCTTAATGCTATTGTTGTGATACATTTTACTTTTACATATGTAATGTATTTAATAATACTTTATTATTTTGCTTTGAATAGTCGCTAGTCTTTTAGTGAAATAAAAAACATAATTGATAATATTTATCCACATATTTAATGTTTATAGTGTTCTTCACTCCTTGCAGATTCAGGTTACCATGTGGGATTATTTCCTTTCAGGAACAATACCAGAATAGGCAACCACCACTTCATATGAAAGTTTCCTGTAGTATTTGCACACTGTGGAAGGTCTTAACTCTCTTTAGAATTTGTTCATTTAGAATTATTTGTCTTCAGAGTTCCCTAATGTCTTTAAGAACAAATAAGAGTTTTTAACTTAACCAGAGTTTTGTTTTTTTCTTTTCTTTTCTTTTCTTTTTTTTTTGTTTGATGGGAATGAAAGTCTTCCTAATCAGCAGCTCAACTTCATTAGCCATATATTTATCCTTTCCAGGCTGTTTATTTTTCTTGTATCTTTATGCTTCCAGCTTCATTCAGCCTAGAGAATATCCTTTGATATTTCTTTTATCTTTTATTTTTAGCTGAGCCATTTGCCACCTGTTGGCAGCTCAGTGGCTGCTCAGCTCGGGCCAGGAATTGAACCGCTGTTGCTCAGAGCTCAAACTCTTGAGCGAGCTCTTAACCAACTGAGCCACTCGGCCGGCCCGATATTTCTTGAAGTATATGTTTACTGGCAATAAATTCTCTCAGCTCTAGTTGTCTGGAAATGTTTTTATTTCACCTTAATTTTTTTAAATGAATTTTCAATGGGTGCAGAACTCTAAATGGATAGTTTTTCAGGCCAGTACTCCCAAAATATCATTCTATTCAACTGTAGTTTCCATAGTTTCTGTCAAAAAGTCATTATTTTTGTTATTCTTCTGAAGGTAATGCATCTTTTTTCACTGGTTGCTTTTAAGATTTTCTTCTTATCTTTAATTTTCAGCACCTTGGCTCTTATAGGCCTAGGTGAAGTTTTCTTTGTATTTATCCTGTTTGGAATTGGAAGAGCTGCCTGAATCTGTGATTCATGCCTTTGATCAGATACGGAAAATTACTTACGATAATTTTTTAAAATATTATTTCTGTAACATATTCTCTCTTCTCTCTTTTCGGGACTTCTGTTCATGTCCCATGTTTCTTTTACATTCTATTCTTTCCATTTTACCTCTCTCTCTGTTTCATTTTGAATAATTTCAGTTGATCTGTTTTCAGTTCCACCTATCCTGTCTTCTGTTGTATTCAGTGTGCTGTTAAACAAATTCAACAAGTTCTTAATTTCAGATATTAGTGTTTTGTAATTCCAGAAGGCCCATCTGATTCTTTATTATCAATTCTAATTCTCTGTTAAAATAATGCTTCTTTTAATCCATTTTGTTTACTTTTCTTCTGTTTCCTTTAGCATATTGATCATAGTTATTTTGAAATTTTTGTCTGCCAACAACAGGGACAACTTTGAGACTATATTTATTTACTATTTTATCTCTTGATTATTGTTTACTTTTCCTGCTTTTTTACATTTCTGTTAATTTTAAATTTTATGATGGATATGGTGGATGGTATATTGTAGAGGCTTATCTATTTATAAAAATATTGAGTTTTGATCTGCCCTGCAATTAAATTACTGGTGAATCACCTTGATCTTTCGGAGGCCTGGTTTTCGGTTTTCTTAGGGCAACTTCATTTCTGTTTTGTTCTATCTCCTAGAGTATAGCCTTACTCCTAGAGTGTAATCCTATGTCAACCCCTATGGTATTTCATTTATCCTAGAATATGGACTTTATAGAGTTTCACCTGAATGTCCAAGGTGTTCATCAAAGTTTGTCACTTCTGGCTGGGCCTAAACACCAGTTATCTCTCCCCAGAACTATGCAAGCTTTATAATTCTTATCAGTTCTCACACGCGCAGTTGCTATTCTCTGACAGCCTCCTAAATTCTCACCTAAACTTGTGGGGCCCAAGAACTGACTAACATTAAAGTGGAATTTCCATGACGACTTCTGGGGTTTCCTTTCTGAGGCTTCCCTTCTTGACCCCCCTCAAACCCTGGCCACTTTACCATTCATAATCTCCAATCCCCGCCTCTTCCACCTAGTGAGAGCACCTCTCTTTGCACCATTGCCTGGAAAATGTTCTTAGTGAGAGAACCTGAATCAGTATGAGTCTGTGATAATGGGTTGGCCTAGTAATGCTTAATTCAGATCAGCTACTTACGTTGTCTTGCAGATTTTGCTTAGATCTTGTGCCTTATTCACATACAGATACATTTTAGAATGAAGATCAACTTTTACCAATATTAGAGAGTTACTGAAGGCTTATTATAGGCCAGATACTTTTTGTATACTTGATCTCCTTTAATCTCTATAAAAAGCACATAAGAAATAATAATAATAATAGTGCTTATGTAGTGTTATCAAGTGCCTGGCATTGTTCTGAGCATTTCATACATCTCATGTAATATTTTACATACCCATTTGAAATCCTCACATCAACCCTATAGATAGATACTATTGTTGTTCCTACTTTACAGATGACTAATCTGAGAAACTATAGAGACTAATAAACTGTTGCCTCCAAAATGCACGATCTATAAATGGTAGAATTTAGATTTTAAAACTTGGCAGTCTGGCTTCAGAAAATGTGCTTTTACCCACTTCACTATTGGTGGTATTGCTCTCGTTTTACAGGTGAGGAAGCTGAACTTTAGTGTGGCTGGGTGATCTCTCCATTGTTGGCGCCAGGAAGTGGAAGTACTAGGATTTGAACCAGGCTCCAAAGCCCTTGTTCTTTCCTCTATACCATACTTCCTCCCAAAGAACGAGAAAATAAAAATTTTCCCTTTTAGGACTTTGGTTTAAAAGGATTTTGTGAGAATTTTGCGAGGACTTAAGAGGGGATCAGACAGCTTCCTTTTGGTCTTAATGAAGATTAATGATATCTCCTCATGCATATGGCTTGCTGGCCGTTTATGGCCAGGCACTGGAAGGGAGTTACTTTTCCCGTTGATATGTGTTAATTCTGAACCCCTCTCAGAGTGACTCCTAGGGAAGGATATTGATAGCTCCATGAATGTCAGTCTCAGGAGTGGAAAGATGGCAGAGCTTAGCCCTAAGGTCCTCTGCCTGCACTGGGACATGTGGTGCCCAACTAACATTTGCATCTTCCTTCAGGTATGAGCATGTGTGTGCTCTTGAGTATCTCATGCATTTGCCAGCCAGAAACAGAGGCTCAGAGAGGATTTGAGGCACCCAATATTTCTGTGTTATTAAGGCTTCCACGGTGAGATGAGGAGAGGAAGCTGGTTCCTTTTTTAGGGAAGTCAGATCCACCATGTGCAGTGCAGGGTGTTTACACATGAGGCTGGAGAGCCATGGAGGCTGTTGAACGCATTCTCTGAGGAAGCCACCCAGGACCCATGTGTCTCACCTGGCCTCTGATACTGACCACCTTTTCTTTGCAGTGTGGAGGCTGCCAGCATTGGATTCATCATTGTGATCGACAGACGGAGGGACAAATGGAGCTCCGTAAAAGCATCCTTGACACGAATAGCTGTAAATACTTATTTTTGTGCTTTTCTATACAATTCATTCAAATTGTTATTCAGTTATGTTATATTATAGTCACAGGGAAAGGGCGATTATTTTATGTTAAATTTTGGGAAGGTCTCAGTAGCAGGGGCTGTTGTGTCACATCTGTATCCCCTCTGCCACCTAAAGGTCACTGCAGAGAACTCCTGAGCATGTCAAAGTCTTCCTGAGTCCCTCTACTTTACTGATTTCTCTAGCCACTGAAGAGGGGCAGGTAGAGAATGCTGGGAAGTTAATGCTGCAGGAAGTTAATGACCTGCAACTATTGAGTCATAGAAGTTGGTGGATAAGTACCCCAGCTTCAGTGGGACATTTCTGAGGTATGTTCCCAGTATCTCAGAGGGTCCCAGCCCTTCTTGTCCACAGCAGCACCCCCTCATTGATACTTTGGCTCTCTAGCTATCACTGTCTCACTCTCACCCTCCCTGCCCCAACTCCTCACTGTGTTTCCTGGGATCACCTCCTCAATAAATACTTTATACCTAAATCCTTGTCATAGGGTTTGCTTTGAGGGTCACTCAGTTTAAAAGAGTCTTCATTTCAGTATTCAAATTATTTTTTCACATGCTACAAAGACACTTGGATAAACCAGAAAAAAAATGATATTTAAGTAGCTTGATTGGAGGTGTGCTTGCTTTTGGCATTAAATTCTTTTTGGTATTAAACCTTGGTGGGGTTTCTCTTTCCGTCTCATTACTCTGATTTTGATACCTGTATGTTGCCTTTCAACAAGTAGATGTGTCCTTGCTCTGCAGGGACCTCAGACCAGGGAACTCAGCCACCTGAGTTCCAGCAGGCAGAGACACCTCAGGGCAAGCCGCACCAGCATTTCCACCAAAGCATGGGCTCCCTGGGGCAGTTGGGACTGGCTGAAGAGAATGGGACATGGTAGGGTGGTAATGTGTGTGGAGAGCTTGGGACAAGAGAGGGACATTTGAAGTCTCACTTATGCCTACTTACAGAGGCAGTCACACCTACAGATATGCACATATACAGAGTCTCTCTCAGATTGCTTTAGAACCTTAGCCACAAATAATGTCTCATTTGTCCTGTCATGACATCACAAAGTGCAAGGTTCTTCTGTTTAGGACCTCGCATTTCAAAGAGGGGAGAAGGGAAGCCTCCCTTCCTTTGTGCATGGATTGTTTTGTCTCTTTGGTTTAGTTTTGGTTACAGGATTTATTTTGGGGATAACTACAATGATGGTTGATGCCCTGAGGATCTGGACACTTGACAATACCCATGATTTATCCAGAGGTCTGGCCTCTGGAGAGTTCTGATTTCCCAGGGCCATAGACAATACTTGAGTCATCTAATACTTGAGCCTAATTTGTCCAAGAATTGCATTGGTCACTTTGTGCCTAAAAGACAGTCTAGTGCAGGATCCCAAAACCTGGTTGCCAATCAGAATCTCTTCATGTGCTTGTTGAAAATACCGATACTGGGACCTCATCCCAGTCCTAATGAATCAGAACATTTCAGGGCAAAGACCAGATTTTTTTTAACAAGTACCCCAAGAGGTTGTTTTAGGGGGCCACTAGAAGAATGGAAAACCATGAGCAATGGTCATGGATTCCCAACTTTGTCACTAAGTCGTTATATGAATCTCAGTTATCTCATTTCTTAGGACCTCGCCAACAAATGAGGACAGTGCTTTCTGAAAGCAACTTAGCAATAATATGTATCAATAACCCCTAAAATACTAAATCTTTGGCTCAGTAATTCTTCTAGGAAGTTGTGCCAGAGAAAATGTTCCAAATTGTGGATAAAGATGTTCATTTCAGTGTTATTTATAATAGCAAAAATGTGGAAAAGCCTAAATCAGTGGCAATAAGGGATAGTTAAATAAATTGTGCACCTATGAAAAATAATATTTCCAAAGAATTTTTTAATAACAAGAATAAAAGCTCATGGTATTAATATTAAGTGAAAAGACATGTTACAAAACATTTCTACAATATGAGTTTAACCATGATAAAAATATTTAAGCAGAGAAAATAGCCTATAAGTAATTAGATTAAAATATTAAAAATGGCTATGAGATCATGAGTGGTTTTCTTTTTCTAATGTATACTTTTATTAATTTCCCAATTTTTTAAAAATAAGGAGTTTGAATTATTTTTATAATCAGAAACTTTTTTGTGTGTCAATTTTGGTTTGGTTTTTAAGGAGGGGTTTGGATTATCTGATCTCCAAGATCTCTTTCAGCTTTGAAATCCTGTGAAATATTTTCCAATTCTTTGGCATTCATAGTGTCTACTTTATCAGCCATGGTCTTGGGTAAGAGGAGACCAATGGATGTGATATTTGCCTTGACATTATTTATGATCCTTCCAGGTATCATTTCCAGGAAACTTGCAGCTCATATTCATCCTTCGTCCATCTTGCTTTATCCAGAGGACAATCACTGACATTGGCATTAAATACTATCGAGATGAATTTAAAATGAAAGTGCCGGTAAGCATGACCTTTCATCTTGTCTCTATTTGGTTAGGGCATGTGGAGGAGATGGCATTGGAGCTGGGTTTCTAAGAAGGTAGGACTCCACAGGCAGAGAGGGAGAGGAGGGCATCTGGGTAGGGGGAACAGCATGTGCAAGGACGTGGAGTCAGGAAGTACACACTTTACGTGAGGTCCATGGGGGAAGCTCTTTGTTGGACTACATATAGGTTAATCTTTTGGAAGAAAAGGTAGGAAACATGGAATAGGTCTTAAGTGTAAGGATAAGGAGTCTGGATCTTATTCAATAGACAATGAATATCCAATGAAGGTTTTCGAGTTGGGGTGACTTGGGTAAGTGGTACTGGAGTTATATAAATCTGAAGGTGTTGTTCAAGACTGTAGAGATTGAAGGAGGAAGAGAAATTGTAGTAGTACAGGTGAAAGAAAACAAGGATCTAAAATATGGGGGCAATATAAATATAGGCAATGGTCCAGTAAAAATAAAAACCAATATCACGATACTCAAAAGGAAAACATATTAAAATGACAAGATTAAAAATTTTACCTATTACTTTGGCAGAGATGTGGGGGAAACAGGCACCTTCATACTTTGCCAATAGGTATGACGTTGATAATGACCAATATGAAGGACTAATTGGCAGTGTTTACAAAAATTAAAATGTACACTCTTTGATCTACCTATAAGTTACTCTACGGATTCTCTCACACATGTGCACAACGCTATATATACAATGATGTTCTTTACAAATTGTTTGTAATAGTAAATGATTGGAAACAACTTAATGCTAAACAACAGGGATGGGTTAAATAAAGTGTGGTCTATCATTTAAATACTTAGTTGCCATCGAAAATACCGTATTTGCCGGCGTATAAGACGACTGGGCGTATAAGACGACCCCCTAACATTTCCACTCAAAATACAGAGTTTGTTATATACTCGCCGTATAAGACTACCCCCTCTTCCGCACACCTTCCACACACCAAATAAAAGGTAAAACAATATCAGATTTGATTTGGCCCACTGAAGTGCAAACAAGCGTATTGTATTTCGTGTCACCACATAACCGTTTTGGCGATGTTGAGCCACCATGTCTGCTACATGTTTTTCGAGTTCTGGCCAGTGTGGGGTGCCTCTTCTTAATGCACACTTACCCCTTGGCATACTCTTTAATGCTTTCTCATTTGATTTCCAGTCCCGAACCATCTTTTCTGTTACTCCATATTGTCTTGCAGCAGCACAATTATTATTTTCCTTAGCAAAGTTTATAACTTTCGGTTTAAAATTTGCATCATACTTCTTTCTTTTGGCTGGTGCCATGATAGGGATGATAGGGGTTTGACTGGTCGACATTTTCTATGCTGTACTGTACAATGGTGCAGTATTGTGCTTGGCTGTTGGCTGTATACAAAGCCTGATTTGATTGGTCCCTGCTCCCTGTTTGCCCGCCCTGTCACTATAGCAGTCTGGTCCACCCTTGCATCATCATCTCCCTGGGACCTCACTAGTGCGCAAGTGCGAGCTCTTCAACATTCTAACAGGCACCATGATAGCGCAAAATCGCGAATCTTCAATGCATATGTAAAGAAATATATGGTAACCCGAATTTACCACACTCGCAATATCGCACACAGCCGAGCATACACCCAGCAGCGCTGCTGATGCCTGAACAGTATGTGGAATGAAGTGGGCAGGCATCGGGAGGCCACTATGGCACGGGGCAAGCACTATGGGCAGTCTATCTGAAGTGTACCTGGCGTATAAGACGACCCCCCACTTGGAGGCATATTTTTCAGGGCCAAAAAATCGTCTTATACGCCGGCAAATACGGTAGTAAGGTATGGCACAACCACAGTGGAAACAGTTGACAGTTTCTTATAAAGTTAAACATAGACCTAACCTATGACTCACCTAAGGGAAATGAAAGCACATGTCCACAAAAAAACTCACAAGAATGTCCATCAACACGTAATGTATAAAGAAATTGTGGTATAGAAAGATAAATACCATAAGATTTCACTTATACGTGGAATCTAAAAAACAAAACAAATGATCAACAAAACAAAACAGAAACAGACTCATAAATACAGAGAACAGACTGATGGTTGCCAGAGAGGAGAAGGGTGGGGAGGTGAGTGAAAAAGTGAAAGAGAATAAGAGGTACAAACTTCCAGTTGTTAATAAATAAGTCACTGTGATGTAATGTACAGCATAAGGAAAATAGTCAATAAATACTATCATAATAACTTTGGTAACAGATGCTAACTAGCTTATTGTGGTGATCACATTGTAAGGTATATAAATATTGAATCATTATGTTGTACACCTGAAACTAATAAAATATTGCATGCCAACTATAATAAAAAATAAACTAAAAAAAGAAATCATGGCATATTCATGTAACAGAATAGCATTAAGCAATCAAAAGGAGTAAAGCACTAATACATGCAATATCATGGATGCACCTCAAAAATATTCTCTTGAGAGAAAGAAGTTAGATACTCATGAGTACATGCTCTGTGATTCTTTTCATATAAAGTTCAAGAAGAGGCAATACTAGGCTATGATGATAGGAAATCAAACAGTAGCTGTTAGAGGTGAGGGGTAGTGGAGAATGATTGGAAGGAGGTACAAGGGAACTTTCTGGGGAAATGTTCTATATCTTGATTGGATGTGTTACATGTATGTATACATATGTCAAAACTAATTCAGTATACCCTCAAAATCTGTGCATTTTATTGATGTAAATGATACCTCAATTGAAAAATGAAAAAGCAGAAAAAATAGGAAAATAAGTAAGATAAATCTTAGTGATATAGAAAAGTTTCTATATTTTTGGTTTAATTGGAAATAATTTCAAACTCAAAAATAATTTCAAGAGTAAGAATAGTACAAAGAATATTGCATGTTCTTTACCCAGATTCATTTACCTATGGTTAACATTACATCTCCATTTGCTTTATTATTTATTATTTGCTTCTCTATACATTATATATAGATGTATACATTCTCTCTATACATTACATATTATATGTTAATACAATACATATATTATTACATTTATGTTATATAATATATTAATACATATATAGTATAATACATACATAAATATGTATATTTATCTCTATATAGGTAAATATACATATACATATATGAGTATACATACATATACATATAAACCAAATAATTGGAAACAAGTTAATGCCCAACAGTAGGAGACTGATTAAATAAATTACGGTCTACCCAATCAATTAAATACTTGATAATATGTAATAAATACTTAAATACTTTAATAAATATATATATGTCTATAAAGTATGTATATCCTTGTAAACATCCTTGTAGCTATCAAGGATGGTCATTACAGGATTATAGACGTGTGTACACGTACACAATAGGTATATGTGTCTATGCATGTAACAGGATCCAGTCTAGGATCAAGTAGTACGTTTAGTTGTCATGTCTCCTTAGTCTTCTTTAATCTAAAACATTCCCACACCCTTTCTTTGTCTTTTATGACCTTAGCATTTTTGAAGAATACAGTCCCTTACTAAAATAAAACATACTTCATTTGGGACTTGTGTGATGGTTTCTCAGGATTCGATTCAGGTTGTGCATGCCCAGCTGGAATACTGCTTAAGTAATGTCAGGTCCTTCTCAGGGTAGCACATGTGGAGACACGATCTTCATCTGCTCCTCATTGGATATTAATTTTCATCCCCTAGCCAAGGCATTGTCTAATTTCTCAAATGTATTATCATGTTTTCCCTTGCGGCTAGTAAGGGATCTTTGGAGAGACACTTGAAGACCATACAAATATGCTACTCCTACTCCTCTCTATATTTAATAACCATTGATGATTCTTGTCTGAAACAACTTTTGTTACTGGTTGCAAAATAGTGATTTTTCCAACTCCAACACTCGCTCAACATTTACTAATCAAAAGTTAATTTTCTACTGTAAGATAGAACTTTCTCTTCTCCCCTTTTGTATAATTATGTCAATTATCATTATAGATTCTTATTTTTTCAGTGATTCATAATCCATTAGTGTTCTTAATTATTTTGGTGCACAGATTGTCCCAGATTTGGCCAGTAAGAGCCACTTCAACTGGCTCCTATATCTTTGTGACATGCCCCCATCATTTTTTGTGTTTTTTTTAGCACTTCCTTACTTTCTGTCCTAATATGGTGCTCCAGGCTCATCTCCTACATAATGCAACAGCCCTAATCCACCTGATAGTTAGCCATGTCTCTGAGAAGCCCTGTTTCCTTTTGGTGGTGAATTAGACCAAGACCTGAATGCTGGGTGTGCTATTAGTGTTCAGGTGTCTTTACTTCTAGGCCCTTTCAGCAGTCTGTACTAATATGCATGTCTATGCACATATGCACACATTATGTGTATACATATTATGTTTACATACTCATATATGTATGTATATATGAATATATGTATATATATATGAATATATGAACCATAGAGTTCACACTGATACTTTAAATTTTAGTCCATCTAAGATATATTTTTTTAAGTGGGGATAAAAGCACGGGAGAATAGTATGTATAGTATGTTCCCATTTGAATAAAATTGGAGGGGCATATATATGATTGTATAAGCATAGATCACATCAGAAAGGATATATAAGATGTACAACACACTTGTTGAGGTGGTTACCTCCTGGATATAGCGCTGGAGGCCTGAGGGTAGGGATGAGAGGAAGGCAATTTTTCTATTTAGATAGATTCTTTTTTCTGTTTGGATTTATTACCACCTACACATATTATCTGTTCAAAGCAAACAAACAAACAAACAAACACACCTGCTTTAATTGAAACTACTCTGAGAAATTATTTAACCCATCTCAGTGATAAATGACCATCGCAGACAAGGGAGTTTTCTCAACTTTTTCTTTTTCCTTTTCACTCTTATTTTCCCTCTTTGGTTCCATTTTACATTAATAATCAAATTTATTGAAATACTTTCTCCCTATACTTCAGGTGTTAACCAGACTTAAAACAGATTTCTCATTCTACTTTAAACACTTATTTTTAAATATTTGAGTGTTTGAGGGAAATGTAAGTCATGAGTTTCTTCTTGTTTTCCTGAATTGAATAGCAGTTAATATTGGGGGAGAGATGATGACTTACAAGAAGTTAATGAATTTGTTATAACACTCATAAGCTTTCTTCCCTGTCAGAGATGAACACTAGTCAGTTGCTTCTTGTCACTCCAAGGGGTTTGGAGTATGAACTGAACATTTGACTAAATGTTATATGTGCTTCCCTGGTTGCGTATAAAACACACCTTTCCAAGGGCTATTATGTGTGTAGATATATATGTGATTTATGCCCTGCTTCTCATGTGATGCACCTATACTATGGAGAGAATGAACATCTACTTTATCTTGATACTATGTCTGTAGCTACTTCTATTCATAGTAATATGTTGATTCCCTACCCATCATACTTTTTAATATATATTTTTTATTATTTTCAGATGTACAAAACAACATAATGATTAGACATTGACACCCCTCACAAAGTGATAACCCCACCAAGTCTACTACCCCTCTGACACCATACATCGCTATTACAATACCATTGACTATATTCCCTATGCTGTACTTCACATACCATGACTCTATCTATCTATCTATCTATCTATCTATCTATCTATCTATCTATCATCTATTTGATTATAGTTGACATTCAATATTATTTTATATTAGTTTCAGGTGTACAGTGCAGTGGTTATGCATTTATATAATCTACGAAGTGATCCTTCTGATAAGTCCAGTACCCATCTGACACCCTACATAGTCTTTACAACATTATTGATTATATTCCCCACACTGTATTTTACATCCCCATGACTATTTTGTGACTACCAATTTGTATTTTCTAACCCATTCACCTTCTCACCCATCCCCCAAACCCCCTCCCCTCTAGCAACGATCAGTTTGTTCTCTGTATCTATCAATCTATTTCTATTTTGTTTGCTCATTTATTCTGTTTTTTTTTCTTTAGATTCCACATATAAGTGAGATCATATGGTATTCGTCTTTCTCAGTCTGACTTATTTCACTTAGCATCATATCCTCTAGGTCCATCTATGTTGTTGCAAATCATAAGATTTCATTCTTTTTTATGGCAGAGTAATACTCCATTGTAGAAATGTACCACAAATTCTTTACCCAGTCATCTATTGATGGGCATTTCAGTTGTTTCTGTATCTTGGCTATTGTGAATAGCACTTTACTTTGTAGCTCCCTGTCCTCTCTTATTATAACATCTCCCTGCTCATTTCTGGTTAGATAATAGTTGCATTGTCATAGGTTGAGGGGAAAAGAGTTCATTCTGCATGACTCTAATAAGAATCAGGTGGACCAGAATGCAATTGTAGTTAAGTCACTTGGCCTCGCTGTACCTTTACCCAAGGAGAGGGGACTTTGAAATAGCAGAGGGTCCTGGAGTGCTTATTGCCACCACTATTCTGAAACAGCTATACTCATAGCAGCCTCTCCGCTGTTATGTGAGGAGGTTAAGGCAGCGTGGTAAAAATCTCTAAAGAGGCCATGGACATGCAAATTGGTTTCTTAAAATTGAGTTTGTGATGGAGTACAGGAAACTCATAATTAAAAGATTACATATCTCCTTGAAAGGACAGCTTTAAGCAGTTATAGATAACATAAATGTATACTGGAAAGGAAAAAAATAAGATATTCCTAATCTAGAACAGCTGTTCTAAGAATGTACATGTTGGATATGGTATGGTAAAGCTGGTGCTGCCACAGGAGGAAATGAGAAGGAGGTTTGAAGGACAAAGTTTATCACACTCAGAGAGGACGGTCACCTCATGCCGCAGGCCCACAGGGGAAGCACCAGGTGTTGGCCAGGAGGCAGAAGCGGGAGGAAGGGAAGAGCCTAGACTTTTTTGGGGGTTTCCATGGGAAACATGAAAAAGCAGAGCCCTGGCAAGTGTGGAAAGCACACCTCCCTCTCTTGTTCAGTTAAGTGGAATAGAAGATGTGCAGCCTGGCAGGGTAGGTTTCTGAAACTCCAGGCTGTAGGACAGAGTTGCTTCTGCCCGGTATTATGTTGCATAATGGTATTTAAAAAACAGAAATTCCAAGTGTTACCATAGCAACAAATGTTTCTAGGAGAAAATCCATTTTTCACTTGATAGTTTCTTGTTATGTGTCCTATAATTTCTAATTTTAGGTAGCTTAAAATTGAGCTCCCTGATCTAAATCACCATTTTGTCACAGATTATTCAATACAGTGGTATTCTCTCACAGAGGGAAAATGGAAAGGGACTTTAAAATGTTCCTCTGCTGGATGTGATTGGGTCGTTGGGAAAGTCATGACATATTTTTCTATGTTTTTCAATGTTAAAATATGCCATGACTTTCCCGATGACCCAATAGTAATCATTTTGAAGACAAATGCCAGAGAAGGCAAAGTTGAAGTACTACATCAATAACAGTAGAATCTAGATGAGCTACTATTTCATTATCTGTGAAGAATATACTAATTTTTTCCCCCTTATAGATTGTTGTGTTAAATTCTGTCTCTGACCTTCATGGCTACATTGACAAAAGCCAACTGACAGAGGACTTAGGGGGAACTTTGGAATATCGCCACAGTCAGTGGATAAATCATCGAACTGTGAGTACCAACCTGTGTGCCCTTTTTAATGTCTCTCCTTGTTTACCAGAAGACAGGGAAGTTTAAGATCAACTGTTGGGAGGTCATTGTCCATGACTAGTTCACATCGGGAAGGTTGGGTTTTCCAGCCACAGGCTGGGGGAGAAATAGAGTGAAGGGAAAAGGCTGGAGTTTCTCCCGCTGACTGCCTTCGCCTTACCTCATCTTCTGGCACGGGGGTTTTGGGGACTTGACTTAGAGGGGAATTTTCAAAATTCTAATACCCTGTTATACCACAGAGAAATTGATTTACTTGAGTTGGGATGAGTCTCAGTCATTAGTGTTTCACAAAACTCCCCGGATGATTCTAATGTATAGATAGACTGAAAGTTGTGAAAGCACCTGGCACATAGTAGTTTACTTTTTCCCACTTACTCAGATTGGTGGCTATTATGCTAAACTAGTAGGGTCAGTAATGTTGAGGAAAAAGTGAAATGGAAACTCACCAAATAATAAGTGTTTCTATATAAAATTGTCACTCCCTTTCCCTGCTCTCCTAACCCCTATACCATTGAAAAAATTAGGTTTTCTAAGCAAAATCAGAAGCTCTCTTCACCACTCTGATGACAAGATGTGATGTCAGCACATCTGTCTGTATCTGGTCACTTTGGAAACATGTTGCTCAATACCTAAACTACATTTAATTAGGTAGGATAATTCGCTTGGTTTTACAGCATATTGTTTTCTTATTTTTTTTAAAGGAAATTTAAGAGTTAAACAAAAATAGATTTCTAGTAACACAATTTCAAAGTGACAGATTCTAATACCTCACTTCTTTGTATGCCATGTAATTTCAAAGAAGGCACATCCCTTCCCAAAACCTAGAGCAAGGCCCACGCATGGAGAAAGAACCCTTTAAGCTTCTCATCAGTTTTACCATAATAATGGTGACTCCAAGAGAATCTTACTAAAAAAACCCAAACAACAACAAAAACGGAACGTGAAATTCTTCACAAACATATAATTCTAAATAAGCCTAAACCTGAAAGTTACGGAGGGAAACTAGTGCAGAATATCATACATGAGTGTGATGAGGGTCGTCCCAGGATGCAGTTTCTTTTAATCATGAAGTATAAAATAACCTGGAGTACTTCTAGGCTTAATTTTTTTGCCTGCAAGATTTTTAATACATTGCTTTAACAATCAAAAACATTTACTATCCCACTAGCCATATTGGGCTAGCCAACTCTCCCTTTTGCTCTGATTTCTCTACCAATCCTTTATTATGTTGTTTATGTTTTTTAAGTTACCTCAAATCTTTTTATTTTAAATAACACAAATTTGCAACAAATAAATAAGAAAACAAATGCACCTTGACACCAAAGACAAAAATAGTTCCTTAAGAACTTAAGAGAGGTTAAGGAGACTGAGGTCATGAAGGTTGATTATTTCAAGACCTGACATGAGCAGACATGCGCACACATCCCCTCTCCCCCCAGGCCTAGTTTGTATTCATGGTTTGTTTGTGTATGTGTCGAACATATTATTGTGAACTTTAAAAAATACAACTAGTACTGAAGCATCAGAGATACTCTTTATGTGTCTTTTGCATGTTTTATGTATATATTTTTATATATACACATATAATTAGAAATATATATTCACATATGTACATTTTCTTGTATCTTATGACTGTATAGACCCTTTTTTTTTTCATGACAGTGTGCTTTCTGGGTGTCCGATCTTTGAGACTCATACAAAGTTAGAACTGCAAAGAACCTTAAAGATCATTTATTTCAATCACCTTATTTTACTGATAAGGAAACTGACTCTCAAAGTGCAGAGGTATCTATCCATGGCCATATAGTCAAGTAGTGGCAGAGCCAAGACTAAGGCCAAGCTCTTTTTCATCACCCTATAAGGATAAGGTCCTCTGTACCACTTCCAGGTGCTTATTCACTAATCAGACACATGGAATCAAGTTAATTTATGAATAGGCCCCTCCATAGGAAACCTCTGACTTTCCTCTACTTCCAGCATAACATTTGCAGGCCTCACACTTGACTCACTGAGCTATTACTGTTATTATTATTACACGTATATGGTACCTTACTGTGTCCAAAATCCTTTCACACTTGCTATTCCTTTTGGTCTTCAAAAAACCCCTGCAAAAACAGAGCAAGCATTATCCCTATTTTTTCAGATGAGAACACCGGGGCTCAGAGGCATTACATACTTTACCCAAGATCACACAGTTAGAGATTATCAGAATCTGGACTCTAATTGAAGTCTTCAGCTCTCAAAGCCAAGATCTTTTATTGATCACCTGGGTGCAATTCCAGTTCTGCCGCTTATTTTCTGTATGACTTTGCAGAAGTTACTTAACCTCAATATGCCTCAGTTTCCTCATCTATGGAACATGAGGTGGTGATAAGAATAACACCTAATTGAGAGGCATTATAAGAGATTGTACATGTAAAGTAAAATACTGAATAATCTCATATTTTCTTATAATTCCATGATAAATTGGATTTTTATGTTATTTACCGTAATAAGCTATTAGTGAATGCAGTTGGAAGTATCTTATATGGATGTTAGATTATGTGAAACTAATAGCACTTTGATATACTTGCAAGAACGATTTTTATAAAAGTTAGTGTTTGTCTGACTTTCTAGGTCTTGAAGAACTGTGATGTTTAAGATTGTTCCTATGTCAAAACAAACTCATAGACACAGAGAACAAATTAGTGGTTGCAAGATGGGAGAAGGGTTGAGGGGAAGGGTGAAAATGGGGGAAGAGGTTAAGGACTACAAATTGGCAGTTATAAAAATGGTCACGGGGATGTAAAGTACGGCATAAGAAATATCGTCAATAATATTGTATTAATTCTGGTGTCAGATGGATACTAGACTTACCAGGGTGATCACTTTGTAAGGTATATAAGTGCCTAATCACGATGTTGTACACCTGAAGCTAATATAATATGTCAGCTGTAACTGGAAAATAAAAAATAAATTAAAAAAGAAGAGATTGTGGCTTTATCAATACTTGTGCTAGTAGGGGAGACCCTACCCACAGCAATGTTTCAAGTATGAAAATGGTGTAGAGAAAACTGGGTTTAGACAGGAAGGGGAAGCGTGCCACGCTCTGGAAGCCTGCCTGACCCCTGACCTCAGGCATAAAGAAGGACCACCTCAGATCTGGCACATTTTTTTATGATGTGTGTTTGGATTTTCAGAAATGTTCTCTGACGATGCAGGAGCAGAAGTAACTGTCCCAAATGAAAATTAGGTTGGTCCTCTTGGCTCCTACTGTTTATCCATTCAGTGTGTATGGGCCACCTATTGTGTGACAGGCACAGTATTATGCCCCGGGGCAACAGAGATGAATGTAACATTGTGCTTGCCCTCCAGGGGTAAAATTATCTCAGAAGCAGAAGAAAGTGGGTGAGGCTGCACCAGTCTGGCTGAGTGGAATGATTTGGGGACTGAAAAACCATGCACCTTCTGATGGTTACGGTCACTTTTTCTAGGCTAGGCCACACGTTTCCTAAAGCACCCTGCTAAAATGCAGGTATCTTACCAGGATATTAGCTATGAAGTCACTAACCCATTGGCAGGTATTCATTTAATGGCAGAGTAGGGTCCTTAAGTGGAAGGGGCACAGGATAAGGTCAATTTTTGTAAAGGAAAAGGAAGGAAGAGGTCCCCAACCTCCCCCGATGTGTGACAGCAATGACTCTGTTAAAGGTCACTAGTGCATTCATCACTGGTTTTATCTTTTCCCTCAGTTTTATATCCTCTCAGCAGCATTTGACAAGCTTCTCAGAGATGCAAGGCAGCCTGGCTGTGTGTGTACAGGGAGGGGGAAGATAGAGTGCAGTGTAGGGTCTAGAAGAGAAAGAAAGGTTTATTAAAGGGAGGGATGGGTGTCCCTCCCCTTTTTAGCACTTCACCTGGGTCTGATTTCATGTTAGGTGTTTTTAGGATTACGAACAATGCTCTAAAATGGAAATAGCTAACCCTGTTTGAATCCTGCCTGCCTTCCTTCCTCCCTGCCTGAGTAACATGATCTTGGGCAATTTATTTGACCTTTTGGAGATCCTGTTTCTATAAAATGGAGATAAAATGCCTCCCACTCTGGATTGTTGAGATGATAGGCAAATATATAGCACCAAGTATAATGCATGGCCCCTTGCAGGTACTCATGAAATGGTAGCTAGTCCTACTGTCCTTCCACTGAGAAAGGATATTGGCGAATATTAACCCCTCCACATTGTTATTTCTGACCTCCCAGGCCATCGAAAACTTTGCCTTGACCTTGAAGACCACTGCCCAGATGCTTCAGATGTGTGGGACCTGCTTGGCCACATCAGAGCTGCCCACAGGCAGGCTGTCCACTGAAGAGCTTCTCGTGTCCCACACGAGGCAGTGGGACACGCTGCAGGTGAGTGCGTCAGTGGCCTCTCACAGCCCAGCCTCTGTGCCAGCAGATGGTTGGCCTCCTGCAGAGAGCCGGGGGGAGAATGAAGTCCTCTTCTTCCCTCTTCTCCGGTGACTTGGCAGCCACTGAGCGTCTTCAACCTTCTAGACAGTACATGAAGAGAAAAATCTCTTGAATCTGGGTGGTACATGTAAAAGAATTGCAGTGAAGACCTGTGAGAAGCATTCCAGCAAAGGGAAACTCATTCGAGCTTTGTATGCTGTCAAAATGAGGTGTGTGAGCCTCATTTAAAAGGGCTCATATAAAAGGGCCATACTCCTATGATCTGCTAAAGATAGGAACAAGATATAATGGCTGAAACTGTAGGGAGAGCAGAAAGTCAGCTTTTGAAGCATAAGCTTTTCTGTGGCTGTTGTAAAATTTGGGGGCTGACTAATAAGCTGACACATTGCTTCACTTTGTCAGGGATGTGTCTTTTTATTTGGGGACTAATTTGAGAAAGAAGACTCTGGAAGGTGCTTTGAACTGCGTTTAAGTAGAAGCACTTATTATTATTATTATTTTTTTTTAGCTGAGCCATCCTGCTACCTGTTGGCAGCTCAGCGGCTGCTCAGCTCGGGCTGGACTCGAACCGCTGTTGCTCAGAGCTCAAACTCTTGAGCGAGCTCTTAACCAACTGAGCCACTCGGCCGGCCCCTTAGAAGCACTTATTAAATGATTCACAAAAAGCATGTCAGAACTGCTTTTATGAGTTGCAGAGAGGGAGCTTGGCCGATTCTTTAGGTCATGCAGTAAAGGGAAGTCTCCCTGGGGCTGACTGGATGGGAGTCAGCCCCCTTCTGCCTCCAGAAACACAAACAGATGGACTCCATTATTTCACAAAATGCAAGAACTCAAGAGGACAGCAAACTGAGGATTAGAAGGTTGATACGTCTTAGCATTACATGTATTCTTGATGCATGGAGTCTGAGAAGAGCTGCATTGTGACCCAAAAATTTGAAAAAATGCTTGCTAGGTGTTTGATCTGTTCATTGATTCAACATTTATTGATTACCCACCACTATGTGCCTGGAAAACAAACAAAAAATGTGAACTCAAGGAACACATCATTTATTTAGGGTAATCTCAGAGTTTAGTGGTTGAGGAATATTAGTTCTTTCATGTGCCAGGGAGCACTGTTCAATTCTTTCTTTAAGGAGCTTGATATTGAAAAAGAGTTCAAAATATATTGCCAAGATGACTCTGAGTAACCGAAAGATCTGGAATGGAACTGTGAAAGCCTGAAAGCATCCTGAAAATTTTCCCTAAAAATATTTCTCAGAAGTTTGACCCTTTTCTTTGCCAAATATATTGCCCAAGTTCACCTCCCATGATTCTTGGAAGAGATGGCATGTGTTGCGGAAGACCTGGTGCCTCTGTGAAGTCTGCCAGAAAAGGGCCCAGGCCCACAGGTCACAGACCACAGGAGTCTGCAGAGTGGTCAGTTAGCACACGGGTACAAGGGTGAGAATGCCAAACGCAGCAGAAAAGCCCTGTGCATGGAACTCCTGGCCTAGGCTCATCAAGTGTGCTCTCTGCCTCATTCCAAGATGGGTTTGGAGAGGAGCAGAGCAGAAGCACCGAGAAAACAACGTGGCCAATCAGGGAGGTCTCTGACAAAAGGGTAAGATATTTTGGATTTTAGATGAGGACATGTATCTGAAGAATGAAAGCAGCTAATGAGGTCCTGCTGCATGGTGCAGGGAGGGTGCCCAGGAGGGGTGGAACAGGCAAACAGTTCCACAGAGGGAAAGAACTACTCTCCAAGATGGAATAAGGTCATTTTCTTGGGCATGGTGGCAAGCTGTTATTGGTATTAAAACATACAACTCCGAGCAAAGAAGGCTAAAAGTTCACTCAGATTATGTAGTGGAGTAACTTTGTAGAATAATTTGCAGTATTGTCTGACATCTATAAGAAATAACTTTATAGTCTAATTATCTTATCTCAATTTGGTTCAACACCCATATCTAGTCAGTAAGACAAGTGAAAGGAATTTAGATTTCATTTAATTAGCCTTTTAGTAAGAAAATAAATGCAAACTCTTATATAAACAGAACTGTTATACTTGCATTTATATTCCACATTTCTCCAAAATCATGGAGAGGACCTACAAGTATAAACGATTTTAAGATAAAATTCTCAGAGTTTAATTTGTCCAAGTGTTTACCTTGATTAAGTTTTACCTGTCTTTATTTTGCCAAGTAATAGTAATATCTTTTTAAAGACAAGACAGAGTGTTAAAGCCTTTTTGTTATTACTAATTATTGGCCTACCACAAATTTGATTTCTTTGTTCCTTATCTATTAGATGCAAAAACACCAAAACCATTTACTTAGAGTTACATTTTTCATTTTTCTATCCAAAAATGCTTTAACGAGAGAAAGGGTTTATATTTTTACATTTAAACTTTTATTAAAAACTTAGTAACTTTTGTAATTATTTATACACATTTTATTTTATTCTTATTAGAGTATATTACTTACCTTTTAACCAAAAGTTCTGTAACTAATTAAATTTTTTTTCCATTTGGGAAAAATCTTTTTCCAACTGAACAACCAATATAAGATTAATTCCTCAGATCAGTAAACTTTTTAATCTATTTAAATATCTGTACAAGTTACAATGAATGATTTATGGCTTTCTCCCGGCCTGGAAAGTTTTTGTCTAAACAGCACAGCATTAAGAGATTTGGTTTAATATCTTTATTTCCTTTCTCCTGAGGATCTTTGAGACCCCCTTTTTTTTTCAGATCCAATAAGCACCCAGTTGTCTCTATAATCAACCAATCAGAATAAGAGAGTAATTGAATTTGAGAACTTTTATAGCTCAGTCTCATTTGCTAATTCTTTATGGAATTAAAATAGTTCTAATTTATTTATTTTGACTTTTTCAAAATTATCTTCCAAAAGAACCTCTTCTCTTTTGGCCACACTGTTATGTCAAACCAACCTGTTTACAAAGAAAAAAAATTCAGAACATTCACAGCAAAACACTTCACAAACATTCATAGAAAGTTTGATTCAAACTTTAAAGCCAATTTATGACTTTAAAGAAGGCTCTTCTCTGGAAATATAAATTCCTTTTCCTAAGGCTGAATGACCATTTGACTTTTAATCATGTTTATAGTCATAGAGTGCTCTCAATTTCAATATATGTCATTTTCTGTCCAATCAGATTGTGAGCACTTGGGCTTCATGCTAAGATTTGAAACCTTATTTTCTCTTGATTTCACTACACCATCTGAGGGACAGAAAGGAAGAGAGAGAGTCCTGTACACACACCCAGCTTTGGCCTTCTCTGGGAGAGGCCAATATCCTATGAGTCCAGACAAGCACATACAACTTGGCACACTTACCCTGTATCTGCGTGTGCTTTTCACACACTGATGGAGAGTTAGAGCACGTATTCAGAGCATGTGCGTACAGGTGTCCCAAACTCTTCAGCCTATTGGATCCTTCTCCAAGGAGAGCTCCCATTTTCTGAGGAAAAGGTTACTTGGCAGACTATAGGCCATCTCTCAGTTTACAAGCAGTATGATAGCACTTACCTTCTGCCTGTCTGTATAAAGAGAAGAAATCCACCCAAACTCCTGTGACCTTCTACAGATGTTCCCAGAAGCAGGTCCCTAAGCTATTCCTCTACCATGAGTGCCGGCAGTAAAAAGATTAAATACCCAAAATGATGAAGGACGTTTTGTCTTCATGGGAACTGAAACTGCTTCAGATCCTTTGACCATGGGACAACTGGATACCCACATGGAAAAGAAGGAAATTGGATGCTTACCTCACACCATATATAAAAATTAACTCAAAATTGATCAAAGAATTAAATGTAAATTCTAAAGCTATAAAACTCTTAGATGAAAATATAGATGTAAATCTTCATAACCTTAGATTAGGCAATGGTGTCTTAGATAAGACACGAAAAGCACAAGCAACCGAAGAAAAAACAAATAAATTAAACATCATCGAAATTAAGAACTTCTGTGTTTCAAAGGACACTATCAAGAAGGTGAAAAGACAACCCACAAAATGAGAGAAAATACTTGCAAATCATATATCTGATAAGGGTCTAGTATCCAGAACATATGGGTAAAAACGGCTCTTACAACTCAATATAAAAAGACAAAAACCTAGTTAAGAAATGGGCAAAGCATTTGAATAGACATATCTCCGAAGAAGATATACAAATGGCTATTAAGCACATGAGAACATGTGCAACATCATTAGTCATTGGGGAAATGCTAATCAAAGCCACAATGATAGACCCACTAGAGTGGCTATCGTAAAAAAGACGGATAATAGCAAGTGTTGGTAAGGATGTGAAGAAATATGAATCCTCATACATTGCTGGTAGGAATGTAAACTGTCTGGTAAGTCCTCAAAAAGTTAAATATAGTTACCATGCGACCTAGCATTTCTGCTCCTAGATATATACACAAGAGAATTGCAAATATATACTTCACACAAAAACGTACAGGAATGTTCATAGCAGCATTATTCATAACACCCCCAAAGTGGAAACAATCCACATGTCCATCAACTAACTTACGAATGGATAAACAAAATGTGGTGTATCCATACAAAGGAATCTGATTCGGTTACAGAAAGGAATGAAATACAAACGTGCTACAACATGGATGAACCTTGAAATAACAACGTGAAGTGAAGGAAGCAGATACAAAAGGCCACATATTGTATGACTCAGTTTATAGGAAATGTTGAGAATAGGCAAATCCATCCAGAAGCAGGCAGATGAGTGGGTTGCCAGGGGCTGGAAGAGGGTGAAATGGAGGAGGACTGCTAATAGGTATGGGATTCTTTTGTGGGGGGGATGAAAATATTTTAGAAGAAAAATGTGAAACTGTACACCTTAAAAGAGTGAATATTAAGGTATAAAAGTTATATCTCAATTTATAAAAAAGAAAAGCCCCTCAGGCTCTAAGACTACAATAAAACAGC